TTTAGTACCTACTATCTGCTGTATACTGTTTAGTACCTACTATCTGCTGTATACTGTTTAGTACCTACTATCTGCTGTTTACTGTTTAGTACCTACTATCTGCTGTATACTGTTTAGTACCTACTATCTGCTGTTTAGTACCTACTATCTGCTGTTTACTGTTTAGTACCTACTATCTGCTGTTTACTGTTTAGTACCTACTATCTGCTGTTTACTGTTTAGTACCTACTATCTGCTGTATACTGTTAGTACCTACTATCTGCTGTTACTGTTTAGTACCTACTATCTGCTGTATACTGTTTAGTACCTACTATCTGATGTTTAGTACCTACTATCTGCTGTTTACTGTTTAGTACCTACTATCTGCTGTTTACTGTTTAGTACCTACTATCTGCTGTTTACTGTTTAGTACCTACTATCTGCTGTTTACTGTTTAGTACCTACTATCTGCTGTTTACTGTTTAGTACCTACTATCTGCTGTTTACTGTTTAGTACCTACTATCTGCTGTATACTGTTAGTACCTACTATCTGCTGTTTACTGTTTAGTACCTACTATCTGCTGTTTACTGTTTAGTACCTACTATCTGCTGTATACTGTTTAGTACCTACTATCTGATGTTTAGTACCTACTATCTGCTGTTTACTGTTTAGTACCTACTATCTGCTGTTTACTGTTTAGTACCTACTATCTGCTGTTTACTGTTTAGTACCTACTATCTGATGTTTAGTACCTACTATCTGCTGTTTACTGTTTAGTACCTACTATCTGCTGTTTACTGTTTAGTACCTACTATCTGCTGTTTACTGTTTAGTACCTACTATCTGCTGTTTACTGTTAGTACCTACTATCTGCTGTATACTGTTAGTACCTACTATCTGCTGTTTACTGTTTAGTACCTACTATCTGCTGTTTACTGTTTAGTACCTACTATCTGCTGTTTACTGTTTAGTACCTACTATCTGCTGTTTACTGTTTAGTACCTACTATCTGCTGTTTACTGTTAGTACCTACTATCTGCTGTATACTGTTAGTACCTACTATCTGCTGTATACTGTTTAGTACCTACTATCTGCTGTTTAGTACCTACTATCTGCTGTATACTGTTTAGTACCTACTATCTGCTGTTTACTGTTTAGTACCTACTATCTGCTGTTTACTGTTTAGTACCTACTATCTGCTGTTTAGTACCTACTATCTGCTGTATACTGTTTAGTACCTACTATCTGCTGTATACTGTTTAGTACCTACTATCTGATGTTTAGTACCTACTATCTGCTGTTTACTGTTTAGTACCTACTATCTGCTGTTTACTGTTTAGTACCTACTATCTGCTGTATACTGTTTAGTACCTACTATCTGCTGTTTACTGTTTAGTACCTACTATCTGCTGTTTACTGTTTAGTACCTACTATCTGCTGTTTAGTACCTACTATCTGCTGTTTACTGTTTAGTACCTACTATCTGCTGTATACTGTTTAGTACCTACTATCTGCTGTTTACTGTTTAGTACCTACTATCTGCTGTTTACTGTTTAGTACCTACTATCTGCTGTTTAGTACCTACTATCTGCTGTTTACTGTTTAGTACCTACTATCTGCTGTATACTGTTTAGTACCTACTATCTGCTGTTTACTGTTTAGTACCTACTATCTGCTGTATACTGTTAGTACCTACTATCTGCTGTATACTGTTAGTACCTACTATCTGCTGTTTACTGTTTAGTACCTACTATCTGCTGTATACTGTTTAGTACCTACTATCTGATGTTTAGTACCTACTATCTGCTGTTTACTGTTTAGTACCTACTATCTGCTGTTTACTGTTTAGTACCTACTATCTGCTGTTTACTGTTTAGTACCTACTATCTGCTGTTTACTGTTTAGTACCTACTATCTGCTGTATACTGTTAGTACCTACTATCTGCTGTATACTGTTAGTACCTACTATCTGCTGTTTACTGTTTAGTACCTACTATCTGCTGTATACTGTTTAGTACCTACTATCTGATGTTTAGTACCTACTATCTGCTGTTTACTGTTTAGTACCTACTATCTGCTGTTTACTGTTTAGTACCTACTATCTGCTGTTTACTGTTTAGTACCTACTATCTGCTGTTTAGTACCTACTATCTGCTGTATACTGTTTAGTACCTACTATCTGCTGTATACTGTTTAGTACCTACTATCTGCTGTATACTGTTTAGTACCTACTATCTGCTGTTTACTGTTTAGTACCTACTATCTGCTGTATACTGTTTAGTACCTACTATCTGCTGTTTAGTACCTACTATCTGCTGTTTACTGTTTAGTACCTACTATCTGCTGTTTACTGTTTAGTACCTACTATCTGCTGTTTACTGTTTAGTACCTACTATCTGCTGTATACTGTTAGTACCTACTATCTGCTGTTTACTGTTTAGTACCTACTATCTGCTGTATACTGTTTAGTACCTACTATCTGCTGTTTAGTACCTACTATCTGCTGTTTACTGTTTAGTACCTACTATCTGCTGTTTACTGTTTAGTACCTACTATCTGCTGTTTACTGTTAGTACCTACTATCTGCTGTATACTGTTAGTACCTACTATCTGCTGTATACTGTTAGTACCTACTATCTGCTGTTTACTGTTTAGTACCTACTATCTGCTGTATACTGTTTAGTACCTACTATCTGATGTTTAGTACCTACTATCTGCTGTTTACTGTTTAGTACCTACTATCTGCTGTTTACTGTTTAGTACCTACTATCTGCTGTTTACTGTTTAGTACCTACTATCTGCTGTTTAGTACCTACTATCTGCTGTATACTGTTTAGTACCTACTATCTGCTGTATACTGTTTAGTACCTACTATCTGCTGTTTACTGTTTAGTACCTACTATCTGCTGTTTACTGTTTAGTACCTACTATCTGCTGTTTACTGTTAGTACCTACTATCTGCTGTATACTGTTAGTACCTACTATCTGCTGTATACTGTTTAGTACCTACTATCTGCTGTTTAGTACCTACTATCTGCTGTTTACTGTTTAGTACCTACTATCTGCTGTTTACTGTTTAGTACCTACTATCTGCTGTATACTGTTTAGTACCTACTATCTGCTGTATACTGTTTAGTACCTACTATCTGCTGTTTACTGTTAGTACCTACTATCTGCTGTATACTGTTAGTACCTACTATCTGCTGTTTACTGTTTAGTACCTACTATCTGCTGTTTACTGTTTAGTACCTACTATCTGCTGTTTACTGTTTAGTACCTACTATCTGCTGTATACTGTTAGTACCTACTATCTGATGTTTAGTACCTACTATCTGCTGTTTACTGTTTAGTACCTACTATCTGCTGTTTACTGTTTAGTACCTACTATCTGCTGTTTACTGTTTAGTACCTACTATCTGCTGTTTAGTACCTACTATCTGCTGTTTACTGTTTAGTACCTACTATCTGCTGTATACTGTTTAGTACCTACTATCTGATGTTTAGTACCTACTATCTGCTGTTTACTGTTTAGTACCTACTATCTGCTGTTTACTGTTTAGTACCTACTATCTGCTGTTTACTGTTTAGTACCTACTATCTGCTGTATACTGTTAGTACCTACTATCTGCTGTTTACTGTTTAGTACCTACTATCTGCTGTTTACTGTTTAGTACCTACTATCTGCTGTTTACTGTTTAGTACCTACTATCTGCTGTATACTGTTAGTACCTACTATCTGCTGTTTACTGTTTAGTACCTACTGTTCAGTAGGCAGATCCTTTGTTCCTACTTCTTCTGATTCATTCAGTAAGCAAGTGACGTCATTCACGTTTCCTGAACTGGCCGCATTCACCCGTTCTTTTTTTTTTTGTTTATGTTTATTCAAAAAGAGTAATGCTCATATACAGTCAGGTAAACAAAAAACAATATCACAATGTAAATCAAGTAATTAAATAACTAAAGATTAAATAACTAAATAACATACAGTACATGAAGAACAAATGAAAGACAGTAATATACAGAATATAAAATAGTCATAAAGACATTTAAATAGTGAAATCATTATTTAAAGTGAAATCATTATTTAAATAGTGAAATCATTATTTAAATAGTGAAATCATTATTTAAAGTTAAATCATTATTTAAAGTTAAATCATTATTTAAATAGTGACATCATTATTTAAAGTTAAATCATTCTTTAAATAGTTAAATCATTATTTAAATAGTGAAATCATTAAAGTTAAATCATTATTTAAATAGTTAAATCATTATTTAAATAGTGAAATCATTAAAGTTAAATCATTATTTAAATAGTGAAATCATTATTTAAAGTTAAATCATTATTTAAATAGTTAAATCATTATTTAAATAGTGAAATCATTATTTAAAGTTAAATCATTATTTAAATAGTTAAATCATTATTTAAAGTTAAATCATTATTTAAATAGTGAAATCATTATTTAAATAGTGAAATCATTATTTAAATAGAGGGAGAAAGGTTTTATAATAATGCAGATATTTGTTATATTTTCTGTTGTTAGTTTAAAGTAGTGATTTCAGTCGGGACTTCAACTCTAGACTAAAAATTGATTAAATTATTAATCCACGCTCGTGACGATTTACGTTTAATTTCGCACTGCATTGTGGGTAAAATACAATTCATTTCCTGAAAGCATGCATCCGATCCATAGTGCATGAAACCAGGAAGTTAGTATCCATACTGAATGAGCACGAAAGCTCAGTACACTGAAACTCCCTCCTGAACAGTTCGTACTGCATACTGAACTGTGGCTATTGGGAACAGCCTGAGATTTGACCTCCTGTCAGTCTCAGCTCAGGGTAAACCCTGTTCACAATGACCCAGAAAGCTCTGCTGCCCCCTGCTGGCAGGTGGTGTATGAACAGTGAAGGTGCATGAACAACAAACAAGTCATTACCCAGAATGCTTTGAGTATTAGAATATAAAAGATCCTGTGACAGGGTGAAGAGCACACATTGATAATAAACAAAGAGGCGGAGTTTGAGGTGTGACATCATCACTTTATTTTTTCTGTACAAAGCTCATCAGAAAGGTCCTCGTCACACCCGAGAGGGATACAGCATCTGGAACAGACAGGAAGTGACATCAGCCAAAATGGTCAAAACACAAATGTTCACATAATCAGCTGTTTGTGCAGATCGTCTGAGGAACCAAGACCTGACCTGGTGCTTTGCATTGTGGGAAACGGGCAAATGAGTAAATGGACTTGAGCTTGTATCTTTTCTAGTGTACTCAAAGAACAGGTCACACCTCCACACATCAGAGGAACACTCTTTACTGCTGAGTGAACAATCCATCAGTATCACAAATAAATCCTCTTCTACAGTCTGAACATGTGTCTGTAAGCTGAGAGTCTACTGACCCACAACATGTGAAGTCAACCATCCAGTCCTTTGTTTGTGGTCTGCATAAGTCTTACAACACAGAGAAGCTCTGTTTCTAATGTGCTCTCCTTGTGATGTCACAGTGGGATTCTGGGAAAATAATCCCCTCCCCTCCCCTCCCCTGGTATCTCCACCCATGGACTCCACCCCCAGACTAGAACAAAACTTTTACACAGGTCGGCCATTTTTATTCTCTGATGTCTACTGGGAAAACTGGGGGGGGGGGGGGGGGGGGAGGGTCACTGCATTTAAAGAGACACACACGCCAAAACGGAGCGTTCTGAGAGAGCTGGTTTCTACAGGGTCACAAACCTCCTCTGGTGCTTGATTCATGTTAGATTTTGACCAAAGCACAGCACAGATGTTTCATTTAGACCACAGGGGGCTGTTTGAAAAGGTGGAGGAGGGGACTGTTTGAAAAGGTGGAGGAGGACTGTTTGAAAAGGTGGAGGAGGAGGACTGTTTGAAAAGGTGGAGGAGGGGACTGTTTGAAAAGGTGGAGGAGGACTGTTTGAAAAGGTGGAGGAGGACTGTTTGAAAAGGTGGAGGAAGAGGACTGTTTGAAAAGGTGGAGGAGGACTGTTTGAAAAGGTGGAGGGGGACTGTTTGAAAAGGTGGAGGAAGAGGACTGTTTGAAAAGGTGGAGGAGGGGACTGTTTGAAAAGGTGGAGGAGGGGGACTGTTTGAAAAGGTGGAGGGGGACTGTTTGAAAAGGTGGAGGAGGACTGTTTGAAAAGGTGGAGGAGGACTGTTTGAAAAGGTGGAGGAGGACTGTTTGAAAAGGTGGAGGAGGAGGACTGTTTGAAAAGGTGGAGGAAGAGGACTGTTTGAAAAGGTGAAGGAGGACTGTTTGAAAAGGTGGAGGAGGACTGTTTGAAAAGGTGGAGGGGGACTGTTTGAAAAGGTGGAGGAGGAGGACTGTTTGAAAAGGTGGAGGGGGACTGTTTGAAAAGGTGGAGGAGGAGGACTGTTTGAAAAGGTGGAGGAGGACTGTTTGAAAAGGTGGAGGAGGGGACTGTTTGAAAAGGTGGAGGAGGAGGACTGTTTGAAAAGGTGGAGGAAGAGGACTGTTTGAAAAGGTGGAGGAGGACTGTTTGAAAAGGTGGAGGAGGGGACTGTTTGAAAAGGTGGAGGAGGGGACTGTTTGAAAAGGTGGAGGAGGGGACTGTTTGAAAAGGTGGAGGAAGAGGACTGTTTGAAAAGGTGGAGAAGGGGACTGTTTGAAAAGGTGGAGGAGGGGACTGTTTGAAAAGGTGGAGGAGGACTGTTTGAAAAGGTGGAGGAGGGGACTGTTTGAAAAGGTGGAGGAGGGGACTGTTTGAAAAGGTGGAGGAGGAGGACTGTTTGAAAAGGTGGAGGAGGGGACTGTTTGAAAAGGTGGAGGAGGGGACTGTTTGAAAAGGTGGAGGAGGAGGACTGTTTGAAAAGGTGGAGGAGGGGACTGTTTGAAAAGGTGGAGGAGGGGACTGTTTGAAAAGGTGGAGGAGGACTGTTTGAAAAGGTGGAGGAGGGGACTGTTTGAAAAGGTGGAGAAGGGGACTGTTTGAAAAGGTGGAGGAGGGGACTGTTTGAAAAGGTGGAGAAGGGGACTGTTTGAAAAGGTGGAGAAGGGGACTGTTTGAAAAGGTGGAGGAGGGGACTGTTTGAAAAGGTGGAGGAGGACTGTTTGATCTCCCTGCTTTGGCAGATCGTAGACCCGGGCTGTTTATTCTCTCATGCTGCAGTTTATGCTCAGACACAGACGTCTCTCTCTCTCTCTCCTCTCTCTCTCCCCTCTCTCTCTCCCCCCTCTCTCTCTCTCCCCCCTCTCTCTCTCTTTTGCTCTGCAGCGGTGAAAACGAAAGAAGAAACGTAAAGTCTGCAAAAACCTCTCCATATGATATTTCCACTAATATGTTTCCAAACAGAGACGCTGTGAGCAACAGTTAACTTAACCGCACAGTTAAGTTTACATCTCGGAGAGCGACACAAGAAACCGTTTCAGGAGCCGGAGAGACGTCAACAGTCTGCAGAGAGTCAGACAGACAGTGAGGGGAGATATAACCCCGGTGTTTCAAATGTTGCTGTTTTCTGTTCTCTCTCAGTTTTTTTAAAAGTTACTTATCATATGTTTATAGTAAGTTCACAGCAGGAGCTTCCCCAATTTGTTCCAAAAGCAAAGCTAACACTGGAACTAGAATGAATTGTCTTTGGGAGTGTGAAAAAATTAAATTATTTTGGAAAGCAGTATGTGGAGAAATAGGCACGGTGATAGGACAACAACTGCCTCCTGGCCCACTTCTATGCCTCCTAGGAAGTCTACCGAACATTTTGAGGGAACATAAGGACGTAATGCAATTTCTTTTAATGTTGGCTAGGAAGGCTGTAATGACAAAATGGGTTGGGGATGAATCCCCTACTGTTCACTTGTGGAAATCGCTGATATCTGATGTTGTGATGTTAGAAAAGTTAAGATACTGTATTAGTGGAAAGACTCATCTCTTTAAAAGGAAATGATAGAAGCTTTGAATCTTCTAAATGTTAAGTGCAACTTATCATAATGATCCCTGAATGATTATCTTGCTATTGTACAACCTCACTGTTAATCACATGTATACTATACTGATGGATGCTGAATGTGACTACTGGACCAACTATGCAAATATTTTGCTAAGTGCACTGAGCTGTTATTGTTTTGTCTTGTCTTTGAAAATTAATAAAAAAGAATGTTTAAAAAAAGAAAAAAGTTATTATCAAGCTTCTCCACCTGAAGCTCACCTGTTGTGATAACTGAACCTACAGGGATTACACTAAACGACGTTACAAAGCAGCAGGCAGGTGAGAGTGAGTAACCATGGTGACTGTCTGTCTGTCTGTCAATCAACAATGTCCCGCCCCCTCTATGAATTCAACTCTTCTGTCAGTAAAACTTACTTTGATCATGTGTCACAGAATGAACACATTCTGTATTATGTTTGATTATATATAAACTAAACTAAAGTTAGTCCAATGATGTCATAAAAACAACAAAGTCTGCAGAGCCTGTATGAAGCTCCAGCTGGAGGAACTCTGCAGGGCTAAAACAGAACAGAAACACAAGAACTCAAAGTCTACATGTTTTTAAATGAATGCATCACTGTGTGTTCCTGATGAACATAAAAAGAGGACACATAACTAAATCATCATTTCAAAGTGGTGAGGAAAACCTTCAAATTGTTCATAAATATTGATCAAATTGAGGGAAAGACATTTCTGTTGCTAAAGATGTTCTGGGTGAGAGACCTCCAGACCTCCTACAAAGATGTTTTTCAAACAGATTGAAACATGAGAGGTAAATACGTTCGCTCAAACTGGTCAGTAACTTTGTCTACAGATCAGAATGAAAACAATCGTGATATTTCCAAAAAATAATCCTGATATGATATTTTTCCCATATCGCCCACCTCTCTGAGACCACCTGCTGATGCCTTCAAAGACCCCCGGAAACCCAACACCTAAGCAGCCCGAGTGTCTTTGAACTCACCACTCTGATTCTGTGTCCGATGGCTTTCGCTGGAAGGTTGCTGCTGAATTTGGCGCGGACCATCCCGCTGCTGCCGTGAGCGCGGGTCACCTTTCCCCAGATCACACGGGTCTTATTGGGTTTCCCGCCCGGCGTCACCGTGTTCCTGAAACGCCAAAAACACGGTTACAACACGCTTCAACCCCAAACACACGTCAGAGATCTGATTGGTCCAGAGGTCTCACTTCTTGGCCTTGTAGACGTAGGCGCAGCGTTTGCCCAGGTAGAAGTCCACCTCGTCTCTGGTGTAACATCCCTCCAGCTTCAGCAGCGCCGTGTGCTCACGCTGGTTCCTCAGACCGCGTTTGTATCCGGTGAAGATGGCCTTACTCCACAGTCTGCACACACACACACACACACACGGTCAACACACGCAGTACACACACACACACACACACACACAGTCAACACACGCAGTACACACACACACACACACACACACACGGTCAACACACGCAGTACACACACACACACACACACACACACACAGTCAACACACGCAGTACACACACACACACTGTCAACACACGCAGTACACACACACGGTCAGCACACGCAGTACACACACGGTCAGCACACGCAGTACACACACACACACGGTCAGCACACGCAGTACACACACACACACACACACAGTCTGCACACACACACACGGTCAACACACGCAGTACACACACACACACACACGGTCAGCACACGCAGTACACACACACACACACACACAGTCTGCACACACACACACGGTCAACACACGCAGTACACACACACACACACACGGTCAGCACACGCAGTACACACACACACACACACACGGTCAGCACACGCAGTACACACACACACGGTCAGCACACGCAGTACACACACACACACACACACACAGTATACACACACACACACGGTCAGCACACGCAGTACACACACACACGGTCAGCACACACACGGTCAGCACACGCACAGTATACACACACACACGGTCAACACACGCAGTACACACACACACACACGGTCAGCACACACAGTACACACACACACGGTCAACACACACAGTACACACACACACGGTCAACACACGCAGTACACACACACACGGTCAGCACACGCACACACGGTCAGCACACGCACAGTATACACACACACACGGTCAACACACACAGTACACACACACGGTCAGCACACACACACACGGTCAGCACACACACACACGGTCAGCACACGCACAGTATACACACACACACGGTCAACACACACAGTACACACACACGGTCAGCACACACAGGGTCAGCACACGCACAGTATACACACACACACGGTCAACACACACAGTACACACACACGGTCAACACACACAGTACACACACACGGTCAGCACACACACACACGGTCAGCACACACACACACGGTCAGCACACACACACACGGTCAGCACACGCACAGTATACACACACACACGGTCAACACACGCAGTACACACACACGGTCAGCACACACACACACGCAGTACACACACACACGGTCAGCACACGCACACACGGTCAGCACACGCACAGTATACACACACACACGGTCAACACACACAGTACACACACACACAGCACACGCAGTCAGCACACGCAGTACACACACACACGGTCAGCACACGCACACACGGTCAGCACACGCACAGTATACACACACACACGGTCAACACACACAGTACACACACACACACAGGTGAGCTTACCTTCCAGGCATGGTCAGTCTTCTCCAGGTGAGTCCACCTACACACACACACACACACACACACACACACACACACACACACACACACACACACACACACACACACACACACACACACACACACACACACACACACACACACACACACACACACACACACACACACACACACACACACACACACACACACACACACACACACACACACACACGTCAGGCTGGTTGTTCACGGACCAATCAGAGCCCGTTTCTAACCTTTAATGTGATGAACTTTACAACATCCGGGTCACGTCGCGTTCTGTTGGTTAAAGGTTTAAATGATAAACTGCACCTCACCTGTCACCTGTGTGCTGATCAACACTCTGATGTGTAGCCACAATGATAACAGGTAAAGTCCCGGATGTAGCTCACCTTTAACACACGTTTAACTTTAACTCACGAGACACTGAGCATGCTAACATGCTAACGCTAGCTGCGCGGAGACCGGCACGCGGTGCTCCGGTTAACGTGAACATCACACCGCGTCACACACCGGGTGTATCACCGAGACTTCACCGGGGGTTTACCGGGGGTTTACCCCAGGCTCCAGCCCCTCTGCCCCGGGCTGAGCAGCGGGCTGTTAGCCGCTACATGAGCCGGTTACAATCTACCGTTAATCTCCGCCATCACGGCCCCGGTCAGCCTCACTAACATCCCGGTGAACGGAGCACACACTGAGCGGGAGCTGACGGTAGATATCCCGGAGAAATCACCGGATTAACGGAGAGAAACAAACGTTTAATCAGACATGTCGGCGCTCTTACCGTCACTGTGAGGAGAAAGATGGAGGGAAAGGAAGCGCGAAAGGAATGCTGGGAAATTATCGTGTACAGAGGTGCCCGCGGATCTGCCTGATCAAAATGGCGGCTTTCAATGAGGACCTCACTTTAATAATAAAGAAATGGGGTTAGGGTTATTAAATATAAATATATAAATACGGTACATCTGTTTACTTGACTCGGTCCTGAACGTAATTAATATATATTTTTAAATAATCTGTTATTTTTTGTCCGTTACCGGAAACACCTTTATAACACATTTATAATCATTCATCTACATCCGGGGTCTCCAACCTGTTTGTCTCTGTCTCAGAGCTACTTTCATCAAATCACTTACATTTATTTACACAGCTCAGCTGAATTAAGATGCTGTTTGTACAATAAGACAAAATCAATGATCTTAAATCCACAAGGCCAAAGAGATGAACAGTGGGAGGAGATGCATTTACTGTCGTCAGAGCGACCTGTGGGTGAGCGACCTGTGGGTGAGCGACCTGTGGGTGAACGACCTGTAGGTGAGCGACCTGTGGGTGAGCGACCTGTGGGTGAGCGACCTGTGGGTGAACGACCTGTGGGTGAGCGACCTGTGGGTGAACGACCTGTGGGTGAGCGACCTGTGGGTGAACGACCTGTGGGTGAGCGACCTGTGGGTGAACGACCTGTGGGTGAGCGACCTGTGGGTGAACGACCTGTGGGTGAGCGACCTGTGGGTGAGCGACCTGTGGGTGAACGACCTGTGGGTGAACGACCTGTAGGTGAGCGACCTGTGGGTGAACGACCTGTAGGTGAGCGACCTGTGGGTGAACGACCTGTGGGTGAGCGACCTGTGGGTGAGCGACCTGTGGGTGAGCGACCTGTGGGTGAGCGACCTGTGGGTGAGCGACCTGTGGGTGAGCGACCTGTGGGTGAGCGACCTGTGGGTGGGTGAGCGACCTGTGGGTGGGTGAGCGACCTGTGGGTGGGTGAGCGACCTGTGGGTGGGTGAACGACCTGTGGGTGAGCGACCTGTGGGTGGGTGAGCGACCTGTGGGTGAGCGACCTGTGGGTGAGCGACCTGTGGGTAGGTGAACGACCTGTGGGTGAGCGACCTGTGGGTGAGCGACCTGTGGGTGAGCGACCTGTAGGTGAGCGACCTGTGGGTGAGCGACCTGTAGGTGAGCGACCTGTGGGTGGGTGAGCGACCTGTGGGTGAACGACCTGTGGGTGAGCGACCTGTAGGTGAGCGACCTGTGGGTGAGCGACCTGTGGGTGAGCGACCTGTGGGTGAGCGACCTGTGGGTGAGCGACCTGTGGGTAGGTGAACGACCTGTGGGTGAGCGACCTGTGGGTGAGCGACCTGTGGGTGAGCGACCTGTAGGTGAGCGACCTGTGGGTGAGCGACCTGTAGGTGAGCGACCTGTGGGTGGGTGAGTGACCTGTGGGTGGGTGAGCGACCTGTGGGTGAACGACCTGTGGGTGAGCGACCTGTAGGTGAGCGACCTGTGGGTGAGCGACCTGTGGGTGAGCGACCTGTGGGTGAGCGACCTGTAGGTGAGCGACCTGTGGGTGAGCGACCTGTGGGTGGGTGAGTGACCTGTGGGTGGGTGAACGACCTGTGGGTGAGCGACCTGTAGGTGAGCGACCTGTGGGTGAACGACCTGTGGGTGAGCTACCTGTGGGTGAACGACCTGTGGGTGAGCGACCTGTAGGTGAGCGACCTGTGGGTGAGTGACCTGTGGGTGGGTGAGCGACCTGTGGGTGAACGACCTGTGGGTGAGCTACCTGTGGGTGGGTGAACGACCTGTGGGTGACCCCTGATCTACATTTATACTCAGATAAAAACAGGATATGAGAATAACCTTTGTATCCATGCTGCGTGTAGTTGAACAGAATCTGTAATGTCTTGTTTTCCCAGCAGGTGGCGTACTCGCTCACTCAGAACATTGAGCCTGTTTATTCATCATAACGGAGATTTCCTTCAGATGTAAAGTACATTATGAATAAAATGTATTATAATGAAGTGTTTGTACTCAGTGTGTTAGAGGTTTGTTTTTGTTTTCCTCTTTACAGTCTGAAACAGGAGAGAAATAAAGTTCAATCGTCTCAGAGTCATTAACTTCAGAGCAAAGAGTCAAATTAAAATATTTATTTAATGCATTAAACTTTACTCTTCTTACAGCTCGCTTCAAATCTTTTTACAGTTTTCAGAAAAAATAAAACAAAGTGGAAAAATGTAAAACTTTAAAACTGTGAGACAGTCTGATCGTCGTCCAGAAGAAAAACTGTGGAATGTCCTTTAAAAACACACAACCCCACCACACGACCTCGCCGCCACACGACCACGCCAAATGACCCACGCCACCACACGACCCCGCCTTCACACGACCCTTCACCGCCGCAGGAGAAACACAGGAAGAAGAGAACAGGAAACATCTGTACAAACAGGAGGGTCAAATCTGTCACCGGTCCAAACAGAGAACACCTGTCGCCATGGTAACAGCCAGTTACCAACAGCCACAGGTGACAGGTGAGGTGGGGAGGTTTGAGGATGATGCATTCAGGTGCTGAAGGTTCACCGCTGCTTTAGTGTTGAGGGAAAACTCTCGGCTTCAGCTTTTCAGAGTCCTAATTTCCCGATCACCTGAATGCATCACATCGCTCTTTAACGTGGCGTTCAAATCTAAGGTTAAAATACAAAGTCTCTCTGTGTGGGCGGAGTCTGACTCCAAACTGACAGTTTACACAGAAAAAAGCAGAAAATAGAGTTTGTGATGAAACAAAGTTTAGATGTAAACAGGAAACAGCTGGTGAACAGCTGGTGAACATCTGATCACACTGAGCTCCACTTTGAACCAGTTTGAGAGGTTAGAGTCACCTGAACAGACTCTTCAGTCCGTCTGTTTACCTGTGAACACCTGTCTCTAAACGGAGAGGAAACACGCCGGTTCTCTTGTGTACTGCTCCTTTAAGAACGTGATGACATCACAGAGGGAAGCTCCATCCTCATCACATGACGTCAACCATTTCACATGACTTCCGTCCTGGACGCCATGCGACGTCGTACATCCTCGTCACATGATGTGTGTCCTCGTAACGACGTTGTCACGTGACGTCCTGGTCATGTGACGGCACAGTCACATGACATCACATGACGTCCTGGTCATGTGATGTCAGGTGACCTCTGTCTCTGCTGAGCTCAGTGAAGGTGTAAAAGGTGAGTTTAAAGAAGCGTGATGTTTGGATCTGATGAAGAGACAAAAAGATTCATCTGACGACAGAAACATGAATGCTAACGTTAGCATTGAGCTACATTAGCCTCTCCTGAACACATGTTGTATTGTTAGCTTATTTTAGCTTTCAGAGCCTGCAGAGCTAATGGGTTCATATGGAGGCCGTCACAAGTCACGAGGTCTCAGGCGAGCACGAGAAAGTCCTTCATGTTCACCAGAGAGTCTCCGCCTTTCTCGTGAACGTGTCCATCTTACACGGGAACAGGTTCAAATGTCTCGTGAGCACAACTAGCTAGTCTGATGATTTTCAGTATTTGTCCCTTCAGGGCCTCCGTAATGTGAGCTCCGTCTGTAGCTGCTGTCAGCGTCCACCAGGCGTAGTGCGGAGCTACGTTAGCATAGCCAGACTGTGTCCATAACTTTAAGCTAACGTTCAACTTTCGAGCGTCCTGGCGAGCTCGTCATGGTGATTCTAGATCATCGTTGTTAGCGTGACTGAACTCAGAGGGTTTAGTGTTTGTCTGTTCATTATTTACGATTAAAGTTTTTAAGTGTTGTTTGAAATCCGATCTTTAAACGACCGATATGACCAGAAAGAGCTTTAAACACACTTCCTGTGTAGGAGAGGAAAGAACGTTTCAGCTGCACCACCAAATGGCGGTTTGTGTACGTGTTGGCGCTCTCGCTCCTCGGATGGCGAGTCTGCGACTTTGGTGTGTTCACGTGATTTCAGTTCGTTAAGTCTGAATGTTGGAACAACAACAACTAACGCCGTGGATGCTATAAAGAGACGAAGACGTGTAAACGTTTAGAGAGTTTCAGCTCGGTGGTCAAAGCCGTTTCCATGACAACCAGGAGCAAAGACACCAAAACCTCTCGTTCTCGCCACGTTAAAGTTGGGCGCCAAATTCTCCCCCGAGTGTCTGTTGTTGTTGTTCCGACCTGAGCAGCCGGTCACACGTTATGTTTGTGTCCAATGAAGACCATATATGGGCATCACTTCCTCTCCTCAAGGTCATTTTAAAGCTCTGCTGCTTTTTCAAACTACGGATCATAAAAACAAGAGATTGTTTAAAAAGTATAAAAACATGGTGCTGCCAATCTCCACATACTCCGTGTGCGCCGCGCTCCGTCAGCGACGCACACCAGCTGCCACTGAAGTCGATGGTCCCGTTTCCACAGCGAGCGCCGCCGTCTGTCTCCAGAGCGCCACTACGCTTTGCTCCGTTTCAACACACTGAGAGTCTATCTTTGATAGAGAACGCTGCGAGCACGCAGAACGACCCGGACAGGAAGTCAGACGAGGAAACGCATCACTTTCAAAATAAAACCCAACATACAGATTCTGATCGTATGTCTCTGCGGCGAGCCCGGAGTATGTGACAAATGGCAGTTAGCGTCCTCTCCTACATTAAGATAGGCCACGTTAGCAGCAGCGGCTACATTAGTGTCATTAAGAAAATAAATAAGAAGCATAATTTAATAAACAACCTTCTGGTTTCATATAAAAACTTTCAGCCTCAACATGTTTAATGTAAAGTCACGTTAGCATTGAGCTCCGTTAGCCAGGATGAGGAGAGTCTGCAGAGTCAGTGGAGCCACGTACCGAGATCTAACCTGCTGTCAGGGTTTAGTCCCTGCATGGTTTCTACCTGTCAAAGTGTTTTCAGAGACGTTTCCATAACAAGAGCGAAGGGTTAAAACCGTGAAAATGTTCAAAAAGAAACACGCTGATGACGTGTCGGAACCATAATACGGCGATAATATGAAGAAGAGAAGCTTTAAATAAAGTCGCACACTTAACCTCAAGAGGAGAGACGGCACGCTGTGCAGGAGTTTGTCTGCAATTTTTCTAAAATTAAATCTAAATATCCGCTCTGTAGACTTCTAGTTTTGTTGACGTGGTATCAAACAGGTATCGATATTTGGAATCATCAGATTCATCAGAGCTTTAAAGGTCACATCTCCTCCTCTTCTTCAGTGTAAATAAGTCTCTGAGCTCCTCAAAACATGTGTGTGAAGTTTCTTGTTCTAAATCCACTCTGATCCTGTATTTGATCATGTCTATAAACCCCTCTATTTCAGCCCTGCTCAGAACAGGCTGTTTCTGTGTCTGTACCTTTAAATATGTAAATGAGCTGTGTCTGACCACGCCCCCTCTCTGGAAGGGCTTGGGTGTACTCAGTGCTTTCTCTCTCCATGTCCTATTGTTTACGGTGAGAAGGCAGACTCAGAGGGCAGAACAAACACCTAGCTGTGGGAGTGTCACCCACCTGGGGGAGGGGCTACTGCCCTTTGTGATGTCATGAAGGGAAAATCTCCAAACGGCCTGTTTGAGCACACATTTTCTGAAAAGTGGAGCAGGGAGAAGACGGAGAGGATGGACTTTTCTCATCATTGGGGGGTTTGTAGACTAGAGACACATGTTAGAGTTAGAGGAACATGGAGAAGAGGATTTTAAATACTGACCTTTAAAACTCTGTTTTCAATGTGTGAATACTGATGGAAACTGTGACGTCTGGAAGATCATCTTCTGTTCTTTGTTCGCTTGTTTACTCGTCATGTAACAGATGCTACTGATTAGGAAACGTTCTGATCTTACATCCTTCAAAAAGGAAGGATTCATATTACATAGAGATCACCGTACCTGAATTTGAACCTTCTAGAAAAAAAAAACAACGTTCTTCTTCAGGCCATGGCAACAAACGTCCTCTTTCTCTCTCTCGCTCAGTGAAGCTGTGGTTCTAGCACTATTAAAGACTGTATTGTTTTGAAGCGTGCTCCTTTCAGAGTTGTGGCGTTCTGATGGTGTGATGTCCTGACACCTGCTCAGAGCGTGTGTGTGTGTGTGTGTGTGTGTGTGTGTGTGTGTGTGTGTGTGTGTGTGTGTGTGTGTGTGTGTGTGTTCTGTTCGTCTCTCCATCAGATCCACCCTGCCTCTCTCAGGTGTTCACTTTCTATCTGATGATGCTGCAGGTGTCCTCTCCTGTACGTCGGCCTGCACCACGACCACTGAGCGTGTGCGGCGGCCTTGGTGCGGTGGTCTAGATGTTGACGGAGGGTCCGGGTGCAGTGGTTGTCGGGGTGACGGGGTGTCGGGGCGGGGCCAGGTCGAGCAGGGCGCTGACGGTCCCGGCCACCTGGGGGAGCCCTCGCTCCTCCAGGATGTGCAGAGGGAGACACAACTGAGTCTACGCAGACGGACACCACAGAGGAAGACACAGCGGGGACAAAAAGAAAACAACGGAAAGGAGGGTCAACGGATGGTAAAATAAATGAATGAGCAAAATAACAGTAACCATGGCAACACAAGGGAGAAAATGAGGAACTGAGAGGAACAAGATGAAATGATGAGGGAAGAAAAGAGGAGACACGGGACGAATGAAGTGCTCTACACCTGACTGTTAGCATGGACGCTAAAGCAGCTAGCAGAGCTTATCATAGAATCACTTCAACACACTGATTTATTTCACGTGTCTGCTCCTGCGTCCATCAGTCTGAGGGAACAAGAGGAGCTCCAGCTTTTATTCATGTATTTATAGATTCAGATTTCTATTGTCTCTTTTCACAGAGCTTGAAAATAAAAATCAGAAAACAGAGAGACAGGAAGCGAGACGAGGTCCTCGGGTTCATTTTATTCATGTTCAGAGTGAGAAGCAGAGAAGAGGCACAGTCTGTTCAAACACTCACTCTTTATAAAAAACACACAAAGTGTCAGCAGCTCAGAGGAACACGTGCTCTCATCTCCATTTGTCTGGATGTAATACTGTCAAACCGCTCGTTTACATCCTGGCAGCAGAGCGAGGAGAGAAAGCTCAGTAACCACGGCTACAGTCAGCTAGTCAAGACCAGGATCCTGTCTCTGAGAAACCTACTGACCACTGAGAACCTGAACTTCTAAGACCCCTCACATCATCCTGCTGTGGTACCAGGAAGTCCACATGGTTTAGGTCCTACAGGGGAATGAAAGACCTGAAACACCTCCTTCCCCTGATGAAGGCACAGCTCCTCCACGGTGAAGTCAGACGAGTCCTTTGGGGGTCACAGAGAGGAGCAGCACACCTTAACCCTCACAGGGACTACAGAGTCTGTGTTTGGGAGGGGGGTGGACTCTGGACCACTTTACGTACAGTAAAAACAGTAAAAAAAACACACACTCACAAACTCAGACAGGCAACCAGACATAAGGCACAGGGGGCGGAGCTTCAACAGGCAGGAAACAAACTTCAGGGGGATTGTCAAGTTTGACTTCACCTGAGGGGTCACATGACGCTCAGGAGGATTACAGACTTAGTTCTGGCATCACATTGGACCCTTCATCACTACCAAGTCCAGAGTCCAGACCTAAAGGGTCCGAGTGAAGACAAACTAGTCCTAAGTTCTGTCACAAAACCAGATTTTAATCTTTGATTCTAGAGGTCCAGCCTACCTGCTAACAGACTCCATCATAACCTCATGAGGGGGTCAGCTTGTCTATGTATCCCAGCATGCTTTGGGCCATACACAATGAATGGAGGCCAATTTTTAATCACCTCAGGTTGCGTGCTGGTGGCGCCTGCACTTGTGGTCTCAGCATTTTAAACAGGTATATCAGTCTCACTGGTAATTAGGACTCAGCTCACTTCTACATGTGAATATAGGTATTAAAAGTGTGCCTTATACACAACAAGATTACATAAAGACCAGCTTGTAAGCCGAAACCAACAAGTCCAAACTCAAGACCATGAACTCCCAAGTCAGGACAAAGTCTCGACCAGGAAGTCAAGAGCTATTTTAAGTCAAGGAACGACAAGTCCAAGAAAAGTCCAAGTAGGCTAACAAGTTCCAGGTCTCAAGACTAACAAGTCTCAAAGACAAAAGGTCAACACCAACAAGTCCCAGGTCAGGACTTACAGAACCAGGTCAAGAACCAGGTACAAATCAGCAATTTCAAGGAAAAGGGGCAAAAGTCCAAAGTGCATAAACAACGTTACAAAGTTAGCGACCAAAAGAAGGCTCAAGTATAAACCAAAAAGGCTCAAAGGAATTTGAATTCAAGTCAACAATCATATCCGACAAGTCCATGGAAGACTTTGTGCCTTGACTCCAATCTGACACCTGATTGGCTGTTCTCAACTGATGAAGGTCTAAAGGGGTCTGAGTTTGGGTCAGGTCTAAAGTCATCACACAGGAGATTCATTTCACTGGAAGGCTCAAGTGATCCGATTTTAAATTGTTTCCGTCGTGCTTTTGGTACAAAATAACAAACACTGAAAGCAGAACATCATGACACTCTTAAGAACACGGATACGATTTAAAATTTGGCAACATGATTTGGTACTGGGCTCAGATTCAATGATATGGTATCAAACCCGAGTTGCATTGCCTGACAGAGACGTAAAAAAGGTCGCTTCTCTAAAGAGCTCAAACTAAAACCTGAAATACAAACTCCCCTCTGTGTCTTGTTCCATCAGGTACAAACCTGCTGACTCATCCTCTTGACTTCATTACCTGCCGTGTCTCGCCCTAAAGCAAGCAGACGGGCATATACATCCCAGCATGCCTGGGAAGGATCTGGAGAGCATGAAGAGAAAACTAAAGCGCTGATTTACCAGATGAGTCAAACCCTCGATGGGGTCAAACAGCTGCTCCTGAAAACAGTTTGGAGGACTGAGCAAACAGCTCGTGAGGCTCTACAAATGGTCCTCACCATGGTCTATGTGGATTACAATCTGGACATAGATAAGCAGTGAATGATGTTTCTCTGATTGTCTTGAGTTTCAGGGCGTTCTCAAAGGGAGCTGAACAGGGTGATCCTGATCAGATGCATGAACCATCATAACTGGCTCCCCTTGATGTGAAGACCCCCCCAGGCTGAGCCGAGACACCCTCTTGAGGAAACACATTTGGCCTGCTTGTATCTTATTCTGAGATCAATACTCCACAGCTCAGGACCACAGGTGAGGGTTGGAAGGAAGACAGACCGGTAAATGGAGAGCTTCACCTTCAGACTCCGCCCACATCACTACATGCCACTCCGCCCGTCGATCTCATGATCCACCTCTCCCTCACTTTAAACAACACTCTGAGGACTCCTCAACCTGGGGCGCTTGCTTTCTTATCGAGATCGCCAACATCTCTATACCAGCCTTCACTTTAACTCTGAGTGTGGCGGTTCAGAGAAGCTATGGACGGGTTCAGCCTGCTCTGATATACAGGAGGAGGTGGGCGGGGCTTCAGAGGACGTTTACCATGTCTCCAGGTTTAAGCTACACGGAACTAAACATACAGATGTTGTGCTATAATCTTTGTATAGGTCATGTTGTGCTGAGACTTCTGAACAGGACGTTGGTTAAATATCGGTTCTCAGGTGGGCTTCAGGCGTGCGGCGCCAGGTGCACGTAGATGGCACACAGCGCCGACATGACGGACAGGTAGAAGAGGGCGAAGCCTGCCAACTGGACACGAGGGGAAGGGCCGAAGGAAAGCGGGGCCATCGAAAGCAACACACCTACCGTGCAGTAAACCCCGCCCCCTTTCCCCTCCAGGACCTCCCCCACTGAACAGAGACTGTCCTGAGTGACGGTGGAGGTGGGATGGACATGGCGAGGAGACGAAGGAGTGAGACGGACAGAAAGGAAGGAAGGTTCATGAGAGGCGGACAGATGACAGAGAAGAAGGAGAGCTGTTAGTGGAGGAGGAGAGACGGCCTCGGGCAGTGATGTCACAGCACGAGCACTTCCTGTTTATAGAGCCACATCAGATTTGTCTTTGTCAGAAAGTTTTAAAGTTACATTTATAAACTGGGACAGAGACTAGAGCTGCACAGTCACACCACGGGACGTCCTGACGACACTCAGTCTGTCTGATATCAGATAAGTGCAGCACGCTGACACATGTCCATCTCTTGTCGTCATCAGCAGCACGTGGACCCTGCGCTGGTTAACGGACACCAACAGGCTGTTAAAGGAGCAGAAACGCCATCCGTGTTTACTACGCTCTGCCAATGAAAGGCGTCTGATCCAACCTTCACAACAGGGTCCTAAGTCTCTGACGAGACTCTTCTCCTCTGTCGCCCCCCGGTGGTGGAATGAACTTCCAAACTCCATGTGATCCCTCTGCACCTTTAAGAAAAAGCTAAAGAGCCAGCTCTTTATGAATACCTACTAACTTAATGATGATGGTCTCCATATTATTGATGATGATGATGGTAATGACGATGGTTTTTGTTTGATAGCGACGACTTATAAGATGGTTTCTATACTGATTAGAGCTCTCAAGAACTGCCCTCAATGTTGTGCTTTGCCTCTGGTCACTTCCTGTCAGCACCTGTGTGTCCAATCAGACTCAAAGCTGATCGTTTGCTCTTACTCACATTGTTCCCTTTTTCTAGATCCTTGCTTGTGTTGTTCTTACTCTCTGATGTACGTCGCTTTGGATAAAAGCGTCTGATAAGAGAATTGTAGACTTTTAAGGGGAAACTGTCCGCACGATGAAGCTCTCTGTTACAGGGAGGAACACGCTAATGAGCAAACCGCTGTGCAGCCTGAGTCTCTCTGTCCCCAGGAGAACCACCGCTCTACACTCAGTTTACTGCACATTGCACATACTGCACAAGTTTACTTTTTCTTTAAATTTTATTTTATTTACCATTTTTGTACATTTTGCACAATTTAGAATTTATTACTGTAAATATTATTTATCTTATTTTACCTTATTCTGGTTGCATTGCATTGCGGGACGGAGACAAACGCAATTTCGATTCCACTGTATGTCTGGCATATTTTGAAATTGACAATAAAGTTGACTTTGACTTTGACTAAGGCTGAATATATTAAATATAATGATTTAGAACGATTTGAAACAGAAGCCTGAGGAGAGAAACCTGCGTGTGATGAAGGTGGTGAAACAGGAAGTGCCCAGTGTGACGTCACTTTACATCCTCTCGTTTATTTACTGCAGGTTAGAGACACGTTCACAGGGTTAGCAATAATCTGAATCTTTTTTACATGACTGGTATTTAAGGTGAGTGTCGGCCCTGATGTGTTACCTGTGGAACTCCAATCCGGCGACACGCCTCCAGGAAGTTCTCCACGTTCCGTCGACATTTGGCCATGGTGAGTTTAGGCTGCAGCACGCAGAGAACCAGGGTTACAGGAGTGACCAACAACAGAGCAGATATTTACTGATGGAACATGAACTCACCACGGCGGGGGAGGGGACGTGGATGCTGGGGACGGACCGCGGTCTCACGTGATTGGCTAAGTGACAGAGCACCACCCCGTCCGTCAGAGCTGCTCCAAGGTCGCTAGGCAACGACACCTTAAGTCGAGCCTCAATGTTCTGCAGAGGGAGGGGGGGGGAGGAACATTTTATATTCCATGCTTCATTTGTTATTTTTCTTTCAGTAAATGTCGCCCTCTTCTTTTTAATTTTCGCCCGTTTGTTTTGTAAGGATGAGGGTCACTTTGTTAAAGAACAGGTGTGAACAGGTGAGCAGACGCAGGTACCAACCTTTCGAAGCTGCTCCACCAGCTCAGCGTCTTCTCCGACCAGAAGAGAAGCAGCAGGAGCCTCATCCTGGTTCTGAGGAGCAGCATCACCTGGACCACACAGAGGAGTCAGACAGGTGAACGTGATGTCAGACAGGTGAACGTGATGTCAGACAGGTGAACGTGATGTCATACAGGTGAACGTGATGTCAGACAGGTGAACGTGATGTCATACAGGTGAACGTGATGTCAGACAGGTGAACGTGATGTCATACAGGTGAACGTGATGTCATACAGGTGAACGTGATGTCATACAGGTGAACGTGATGTCAGACAGGTGAACGTGATGTCATACAGGTGAACGTGATGTCAGACAGGTGAACGTGATGTCAGACAGGTGAACGTGATGTCATACAGGTGAACGTGATGTCACACAGGTGAACGTGATGTCAGACAGGTGAACGTGATGTCATACAGGTGAACGTGATGTCAGACAGGTGAACGTGATGTCATACAGGTGAACGTGATGTCATACAGGTGAACGTGATGTCATACAGGTGAACGTGATGTCAGACAGGTGAACGTGATGTCAGACAGGTGAACGTGATGTCATACAGGTGAACGTGATGTCATACAGGTGAACATGGGTAACCTCACAGGCGACAGAAGATTTAATTTTAGGCCCCTCACCTTTCCTCTTCTCTTCTTTCTGACCCAGACGAAACAGGAAGCTCTCTGGTCTCAGACTGGCTGTCCGACAAGAGGCCACGCCCCCTGAGCTGGGGTAAGAAGGCGACTGATTGGCTGCAAATAAAAAGCACATAGTCAGAATCCATCATAAAAACTGACAGAATGAATAGAGCAGGAGACATGTGCTTTCTTACCTGTAGGAGACAGAGCAGTTCTGTCCTCACCTGCAGA